CCAAATGGTTTACGTGGTCCGACTGAATGGACAACTGTCAGACACATTCGCTTCGCTTCTCGGACTACTCACCGGGGACCCCACTTCACCTTATCTGTGGAATGTCTTCCTGCGAATGCTACACCTCTCCCACTTCCCAGGGGACGCAATGTTGAACGGAAAACCGGTCCCAAAACTGGAGCAGGCGGACGACTTGATGATAATTGCGTGCTCCCCAGAAAGCTTCCAGGACAAGCTGAACGACACTGGAAGGCAGATGGGAGACATGGGTTGCGAGGTTCAAGAGCTGAAGTGTGAATTCGCCGTCGCAGGGGTTCGTCCGAAAGGGAAGCTTGATTTCACATTGAATGGGAAGCCGCTCAAGGAGGCGTCTATCTTGAAGTACGTGGGAATATGGCACAACTTCCGTTCGAAGGACATGCACTCGGAACATCACCGCGTCTACACGGAGAAGGCGCTGAACGCCGCAAACGTGAGCCTCGGTGTGAACCGGTATGTTGGGGACCTACCACTGTGGGACTTGCGCTCGATATATATTGCTCGGGTGGACACCCATCTCTCTTCGGGCGCCGACATCTGTCCAGACGTTGTGGAATCTAGGATTGTGGAGAAAGAGGCCGTCCAACATCACTTCTTGAGGAGGATGCTCGGCCTTAACACAAGATCTATGACGGCAATTTTGTTCTCCGAAACCGGTCTTGAACCAATACGGTATCAGAGGGCAAGACAGCTGCTTAATTACCTCCTCCACTTGGTGGTGCTCGACGAAGATGAAAGACTTGTTGCCGATGGGCTACTCGACTCACTGGTTCTTGCTAGGGAGAGAAAGATTTCGTGGATCAATGACATCGCGATAGTCCTCTCGAAGTTACCCATCCCCATATATTGGGACGTCTCGCAGCCGAACACGATCAGCAAGGCCACTGTCCAGGCTCTGTTGAAGGATCTGACCTTCTCCATGGAGGAATCCATCCAGTCTTCAATCCTATCCTACAGTAAGACATGCAATTTGTTTGCCGATCGACTGGAACTTGTGGACAAAAAATGGATCAGAAAAGTGTTGTACTTCAGAAACTACTTGCGTGTCCAAAACGAGAGCCACTGCCGAGCTTTGACTCACATTTTGCTCTCAGGCCATTCACTGGCCAGCGAAAGGATGACTTGGGCGGACCGATATAGGCCGGAACCGATCCCCGACAAATGGAGACTATGCCGCTTCTGCAAAATTTGCATCGAGGATCCTGTCCACGCTCTATTTGGCTGCAAGCACCCTCCGTTGCGCCTGCTTTGCAGAGAGTTCTACTCTCAAATATTCTCATCGCTACCGGAGATGAGAGGAAAACATACTGATGCAGGCCTGTTTTTCAGAGATCTAATCTCGCGGCGCAAAACCACAGCGCTTCTCGCGAAATATGCATACAACGTTCTGGAAATCTTCTATGCGACGCCAATGCTCAATATTAACCGGCAGTTTTACCTGCCTCACGCCCAGATTGGGCCGGTTCCCCCGCCGGCCTGACTATCCAATATCTGCATGCGTGCCCATCGGGACGCAGAGCCAGCAACACTGCTATGAGTCTTGGCCGCACGGGTTTTTTTCCTGCGGGTTTTTCAAAGCAACCGTGCGCCGGCCCGACGTTTGTCCGTGTCGGGCAGGGACTCTTAAGTAAGGTTGACAGCTTTCCGCCCCCCGCTGGTAGTGCGTCGTGTTCTAATGACTAGTGGAGTTGAATGTGGGCCTTCCATAATTTAGCTACATAATTGTCCTTAGTAAACTGGCTGTTCCAATTGTGGGACCGCGCCAGTATAATTTATCCTCCTCCTCCTCCTAAGAGCATGGGAACACCTACTACTTTTAATCATTCATAGGCTAGATATCAATGAAAGTTATACCTAACACAGGGATAGGACAAGGGAATGTTAATTGCAGGATCTCATTTGCCTATTTTTGCATGACTATGACTTTTCTCTGAATCAGGAATTTGGTTAGTGATACTTCCTGTACTTACTTACCTGTTTTAGACTACTAACACTTTTATCCAAATTAGGAAGTTTTGAACTTTACCTCATCGGGAACACTACAAAACCTCAACCTCAGTCATTCCCAAAAAGTAGGGAAGGAGTGAAGCATCTGATGTGTTAGACTCAGCTGGATGTATCACAGTCTATAGACCTGTACTGATACAGTGAGGACATGTTTTAAAAAGAAATTGTGTTCTAGGGTGGTATGATGGCTTTGACATGTTATCAGTCAGCTGGGATATATCTCTTGCTCTATATGTATTTTCTCTCTCTCTCATGGATGGAAATTCACCTTTTTACCGGAGATTTCCCTTTTTGGAACACTTACACTTTGTTCTCAAAAAGGAAATTATTTGTACCAAAGCTCTATAGTTGCTAGTCCAACCGTTGAGAGCATTTAAAGCACGCAGTTATACCTAATTATGCTTGTCAAAACTGAAAAGAACGCACAACAGCCATCTCATATACAGCAATTAGCTCAAATCACCAATATAATTAAATTTGTGTTTTATTATGATATCTTGAAGATGTATCCATCTGGGTGGCTTTTCAACGTCCCATCCGCTTCAGGAGTACTCCCACTACACCTTCCATACAGAATAGAGAGCTCCTGAAGTAAAATAGACATCAAATTGTCCTTACAGTGACAATGCTCATTAGCTTATCATATCCCGGTGGAGTGCATCAGGTATGAATGAACACATCCATTAGCATCTTATGATTGATATGTATGTGAAAGAGGACTTTTCAGTGCCTAGGCAATGCTGTACAAGATGGTTTTGGGAGATTACATCTCAGACTCTAATCTTTCATATTCAGTGATATACAGGGACATAGGTAATGATATGAACACTCTTTGGAACTTCCCTGGCCTGGATAAACAGTTCTGAGTCAAAAGAACCACCAATATAATATTGTATAAGTTGAAAATATCAAATCTCACTTTTTGGTTGTTTCATCATCAGGGCACTCAAAACACAAGGTACTGCAAAATAAACACTAGGACTGAAAGGAGACAGTCCAAACGATTCAAATTGAGCTATATTTCAAGGCTTTTGGTCAACGTTTGACCTAGTTCTGTTTCTGAGGATCTGTGTTTATACACCATTTGGAGTTCATATATTGTGCACAGGTCAAAACACTATCTGGTCATATGTGGACCAAAACACTTGAAATAAAGCTCATTCTGACTCTTTTACATTGTCTGTTTGTGTTATTGTGACTTTCCTTGCACTGAATGCCCACATTAGTGCTCTGTCTGCAAAATAAGCAAAAGGTGAAATTTGACAATTTGGAGTTAAATCATTGTATATTGTTGGCAGATTATTGTTGATTTGGCATAGCATAATCAGTAACAGGTTTTATTTCAACACCTATAGCACTATGATACCTTCATAATGAGAGATACAAATATGCCCTAAAATCACTGTACACCATGAGGTGCAGGCTGCACTGGCTATCTATTGTGAGTTTTAATGTGATGGATACATGATAGAATGCCAGAGGAACAATCTTTGAATATGTTACAGTGTGGATTCAGGTGTTATAGTGTCAAGATGTAATATTCTTATACAGCTGAATTATGATGTTTTGAATGATAGAACCCCAATATATCGAGTTTAAACACTTCCTATATGATGATGGAGCACAAGGTGCCACTTAGAAGGTATCTGAACGCTCCATCCCCACTTATAACAACCACAACATGTTTTCACTCATTCTTCTTGTTTTCACCTTGTTAATAGATAGTAAAAGACAATGATGTAACCCAGTCATGTTTGGGGAGCAGAAGGAAATATGAAATATCAGTTACATCATCCGGAACACGTGAATCAAGAGCCAGAGCACAAGTGATGTTGAAAACTTCCTTTTTGGGCCAAAGGCGTTAGTGTCCCAAAAAGGAAATCCAGCGATCAAAGTCACGGTTTCTGTAACCAGAGTGAAAGACATTCTATGAAGATGTTCTGGTACAAGTGGTTCACAATTAGATAGGATTGGAATTTGCCTTTTCACATCATTAGCTGAGGAATAGCCAAAGTTCAAAATTGCCTTTTTGGGCAGAAAGCGTTAGTGTCCCAAAGAGGAAAACTGTTCACAAAATTTGTGATTCTCAAATCCATCTTGTTGACCTCAAAAAAGGTGGTAGGACTCCTTGATAAGCTTTTCCATTGAACACAAAATACATTTTTAGAGCTGACAGTGTTCTGATATTTGCAAGAACCTACAGGTGTGCCTGCAGGTAGATGAGGCACAATGAAGAGGTTTCTTGGGTTTCATGTAACAGGAAAGTCTCAGAAACTATGCATCCAGCCCATAAATGATACAGATGATGGGGTGTCCCCATCCTATCAGTGATTGGGGGTGCCCATAGTGCATGTAAATCCTGCCAGTGGGGGTGCCCAGACATATCTGGGGACGCCCATACTTGATCCGAGGGACAAGCCATAATTGAGGATGCTTTTGTGTATACCTGGGCAGTCAGAGGTTCTGGTTCAGAAAGCTGCATATAAAGCCCAAGTGCTCCATAACTGTGGAGAGATGACAGGAGCCACATTGAAGACAGACCGGTGTAATGCATGTTTTCAACCAACCAACCGTGAATGGGCAGAGCTGATATTGCTGATATTGTGAAATTTTTCTTCCGCTGCGTGGGCCTGGATCAAGGGCGCGCAAGCACGCCAAATGCTGGGCCTGGCGTCCCGGAAAGGGGTGTGACATGTGACATTTTTGGGCCTACCCATACCACAAGAAAGCCAGCATCTGGGAGCCCCCAAGGACCTAAAAAGCATAAAGGGTGGGAACGCCCACCCGTGGGCACCTGCGGGCGCTCCCCACCATTTGGGACCCTCTTGGGCTTTTGATTCACCAATGCATATATAACCCTAGATGGTACTGGTTGGGGGCTGCCCGAAGTACGAACGGAGGAACATTGAACGGCTTACACTTGCCTTTCTCCTGAAATCCTTACGAACAACAAAAACCCACCGCGAGAGTCGAACTCGCAACCTTCAGATTAAGTGTCTGACGCTCTATCCAATTGAGCCAGGTAGCCATCGGACAGTATTGAACGAAAGAAACTAACCAACACCAAATATTGAATGTCCTCCCTCTCCCAATGTTGCAATATGTTCCTGCATTGGCACACATCACCCGAGTCCTGGATAAAAAGGCTGTGATTCCAAATGTCCATAACCCGACCCCGAATCGAACAGGGATCATTGCAGTCGAAGTCGTACTACAAATATATGGTCCTGCGATGCGCTACCAGCTACGCCATCGGGTCTTGTGGAGAGATACTCGATGGGACAATTCGGACCGTACGAACAGTATGCCCGAGGACAGAGAAAGGGCCGCTCAACGCAACGAATGGGATAAAAAAACGTTCAGGCTTTTCTGAAGGACCTGACCTCGAATCGAATGAGGGGCTCCGCAGAAACAACCAATAATCTTGGGGCAGTCGAAACTCGAGCTCGAGCCCAACATCGAACAGAAGTAATGAAACAAATAACGATTGGAGGAAAAACACATTGATCTGCCCGCTATGGCCTAGCCTCAAGTCGAATGAGGGACTCCACAAGAATATGCTAACAACAACCACCATATATCAGAGTGGCGCGTTAACCGTTACGCTACTAGGCTGGTTAAAGGGGAAACTAAAACATACGACACGAGACAACTGAAAAACAACGAACGGCGAAGGTGTAAAAATCTGATAAACGCGCCCTATGGTCCAGCCTTGATTCGAACAAGGACCTCCATCGTGAACATGTGATGAACAGCTCCAATGTTGCAACAGCGCGTTCACCGCTACACCACTGGACCATGGACGAGCTACGCGAGAAAGAAAAAACTACCTCCGAACAATACCAGGGCCTGGCCTTGAATCGAACAAGGACCTCTATTCTGAAGAGTACGGAATCGTGTACTCTGCGACGGCACACTACCGGTTGCGCCACCAGACCGATAGTTCTGCTGCGACCGGGGAGCTGGATAAACAAGGCAATTATCGAATGGCGAAGGAAAAAATCTAGAGAAACACGCCCTGCATGGCCCGACCTTGATTCGAACAAGGGACTCCGTCGAGACTCAATGTGCAGAAGAGGCATGCTTTCGACGGCACGTTACCAACTGCGCTACCGGGCCATGAATATCGGACGGGGGTGACCGGGAAAAGGGGACCGTGCACATAACCACTAGGGCTGGGCCCCGAATCGAACGACGGACTTCGCCTTCAAAGGGTGCAAGAAGGTACTTTGGGACGACACGTTACCAGCTACGCCACCAGGCCACAAGGGAGAATAATTGTGGAGGGGGAAAAATCTCATATTAACGAACGACGGGGGAAGCAAACGGGAAATAATGAACAGAGAAGCAGCTGTCAGAAGCTCTGACAGTAAAATAACGAACGGAAGGAAGATGAAGGGCAAGATGACTCATCTAACGGACGGGGGATGAGGGGGTTGGAGTTGTAAGGGACGGATTGACAAGGAAGGATGACGGGAGGGAGTAATGGAGGTGACGAAGGGGGGGGAGAGGTGGTGCGAGCTGGGAGAGTATAAATACAAGGACGTATAACAGAGTGAATCTATCTACTTTTTCCCCATCTAAATCCGCCAACTAGCCTAAACGGCTAGCAAGCGGCAGAAACCCACTTCAGAGAGAACTCTGTGGCGAAGGGAGGAACGAAGGTCACTGACACCAGCAGTTCGGCACAGCGAACACAGGATTATAGTCTGTCTACTGCACGGAGAGTCATAAGTATTAAGCAGCCACCCCGCTCCCACATTATCATCGATAACTCCCCCTCGACCTCCTCCGCACTTAAAACTATTGAACGGAGAAGAAACAGAGCAGTCGCAGAGCCAGTTGTAAGAGCACACGCGGCATGTATCTTTGCGCACTTGGTCGAACAGTGGAAATATCGAATGGATAAGAGAAGAAAAGGGCTTTGGGAGGGAAAGACAAGGAAAACAAGGAACGGCGAGACATGTTGAGCTGTTAAAAACTCGTACAACTCTCCAACAACGGCATACACAGGCATCTAGGGGAGAAATAACGGGCGGCGACCACCCTTAGAACCGAAACATAACACTCGAGAACCCCCGACGGGATTTGTTGTCCTCAGCTGCAAGACCATCGGGCTAGACTACTGACCGGAGCGCTGAAGGTGTCAAAGCTAGGGGTGCTGTCATGGAAAGTGGCCTCCAACTCGCGCAGATTCGGGCAATACTTGTGAACTGCCTGGAACACTGCGTCCATAGGATATTCACGTAAACCGGCAATTGTTTGACCGCAGGAGAATCGTGTCAAGGAGGTCATCGCGAAAATAGTTGCTGCAAGCACACGCGGGAAGTCGGATCCCCACTTTGCGCAAGGTTGCTTGTCGCTATGGCTATTGACGAGAAATTGTGAGATCTGTAGTTGAGCTAGTCTAGATTTAGGTGTCACCCATTAGCCGTAAGTCCCTATTAGGATAGACTTGGACGCACTGGCTTCATCCAACCAGGAATCGCCTTGAAAACTATCCGGAATCCTTGAAGGGTCAATCCAGTAGGTCCCTAGACTTTTTTGGGCGAATTATTGTGCTATGGTAGTTTCACGAATGCAAAATCCTCAAGGCTAGTACCGTGTGAATTCTGCGCACAGCCACCTCAACGGCGAAGCAAAAAAGGTGTTCCCGACACAAATTTGCACTTCAAGTGACCTGTTAGGAAGATTGAATGCCCTGTCCCCTCTTTATCATGTTTTTAGTCGAAACTGAGCTAAAATCAGGAGCCCATTTCGATATTTGCTCCCCAGAAAATCTCCATTTTGGGAATTAGCATATCCGGTATTTGGGACTTACGGCTTTTGGTGCGCAAGTAAAATCAGACCAGTAAACCGGGTTTTTTCCACCTCCCTCAAAAAAAAAAAAAAACTTTAGTTTACTGGTCTGACTAGAGAGACTATAGTTGAGCAGTGCTGCGAAAGAGCCGCATTGGTTCACCCAGTAAGTCGAGGGATAGAATGCGGCTGGAAAGACCAGGGTACTTTGCCAATGCCATTCAAGTGTCATTCTACTGACATCGCAGCAGACCTTCCGGAACTCTAGGTGTTGCGGGACGACGATGCGGTGGAGGAATTTACTCGTTGGCCAGACTCCAGAGATAGAAGATCCCGGGGAACAGGAACGCAGGACGCAATGGCATCTAGCAGCTTCGTAGGTCGGCTACACAGTGACATCGGGCTTGTGAACAGTGCTGGCCTCGCCAAGGGGGTACCGAAAGAAAGAAAAAAAACCTGGGGCCGTATTTTTTCAAATACGGTGGAGTATATACAAAACACCTACCTACGGTACATTCTCAAACCCGGCAGATCCCAACTAAACACGGTGCATTCCGTCCATGTGCCGCCTTTGAGAAGAAACTCGGTACTTGCCATATTTGAATGTACCGTGGATCGGGACTCGGAGAGCCCTGATTTGGAATGGGGTCACGGGGCAATCCCTCTCTTTCTCCTACCACCACCAGCGCTCATCTCATTTGGCCCCGACGTGTCAAAGGCGGTTCAAAATGTCGCTCAATGCCAACCACGAAGGGAATCCACGCCTGCCAACTGCGTATCTTGGAGGTGCTGCTACCCCGTGTGCGCGGTGATTTCCGATTTCGAGCCTTTTTCAGGGTATCTTTGACCATGAACCAGAATTTTCTGCCGGGAGGTGTACGAGGCGAATGGCTGACATCAAAATTGGTGCTTCGCCCTCCCCCAAATGGTGTTGCAGTATGAGTATCACCATCCACCATCCCATGCTGGCATTCCGCGGGCGTCGAACAAAAACAAGTGTGTTTGCGGCACGACGTGCACGGTGAATGTTTCCCTCCCGGTTCTGCTCTCATTGAAGTTTGAATTCCAAAGTTGGTGCGAGGGGCTTGAATAGGGCGGATGCAATGCGCGCGGGATGCTGAGATTTTTCGGGCGGCTGACACACAGTGAGTGTTTGATTTTGGCTAGTTCCAAATGTTCTTCAGGGGTTGGCTGCGGGGCCCCGACTTGTAAGCCAAGCCACTTCTGTATTGGCCTGAAATTCGACTGACTGCTACTGGTATCCACTATACATTAAAATCGTAATCCTACGTCCGTCTAGTTCATTGGATGAGTTGTGTTGTGCCAATCCTAAGGGAAATTTTAGTTCAGTGTTTGTTTGATTACCCCGTAACCTACCAGAGGGAACTTACAGTTCTCGGAGGTTCAGAACACATGTTTCGCCCCCGAAAACGTCGCGGAACGCTTGTACACCGTCACCGCAACAATATACCGTGTATTTCGCCAAGCCCGGTACATGCCGAAGGAATGTGCCGGGCGTGGACACAATGTACCGGGAGTAGAATGTGCGGCTCGGTAATGGTGTTTGTGGTGATGGATAGTCCCGATTAGGACTATCCATTCCGAAAGAGGACTATCCGTTTGATTGAGCCGCATTTGGGCTATCCAGTTGATGCAATCAACAATACACCCAAATCGAGGCTATCTGGACATGCCGCCTGTGCCGAACGCTGTGGTTGTGTTCGAACATTGTTTGTTCTCGCTCAATGCACACTCGTGATTCAACATGGACCTTTATATCGGAAGGTTTATCTGCAATACAACTGGTGCTGATGGTTTGACAGACAAAACAGCAAAACCTTGGGCTTCACCTTTCAACTTTGGAACTTTCGGGTAATAGCCAGTTCCACTCTGCTTTGCTCTGCGGTCCTTGAACAAGGACAAGAAGATTACCTGCTAAGTATTGCCCAGGACCAAATTTCGTGTACCTGATATTATTCAGGCTCCCTGAAATCACAGGGTCATTGAATGGATCTTGGATCCAGGTTGCAATTGCAGATGCATGCCTGGCAGTACAAGGAAACGGTGGAACAATGGTTCCAATCATTGTCCCGTGGATATGTAACACATGGATTTCGGGGACATGAATTTCTTTTCATATTGGCCTGCATTGGTATTCGGTTTAGACAAATAATTGGACTCCAAATAGACTAACGGGGCCTCCCTGGGCAGATACCTTGAATTTCTGCTGAGGTGAACTTCTCGATTCCCTAGTTGAATTTGAGTTGAATTTTGATCCGGGTGTTGCCGCATTATGCCGCGCAGCGCCGAAAAAAATGGATCGGAGGTCGAGAGAGCTAACCTTGATTCCCCGCATGATTTGAGACTGAAATCTCTCTCTTTCCTTCCTTTTTTCTCCTTCTCTCTTTCCTTTTTCGGCGCTTTTTTTCTTCCTTTTTTGGCCACCACAAACACCATTACCGAGCCGAATGTGCAGACAGTCCGAGTTTTGTTAATCCCGTATTTTTTTCAAACGGAGCCTTGACCTTGACCCTCCCTACCACAGAGGGATCCGGGCCTCCCTTGACCACCGAAAAAATATGGCATTTTTTTTTCTCGGCCTGACGGTCGACCCACCCTAGTCCCCGGTCACGGCTTGACCGGCCCGGACCCCTTGGGCCTCGCAGAGTCTGAGAAGGTGAAAAGAAAGCCTTACCAATTGTACCGTCCTGGAGTTTCGTGAGGCGGCATTTATGTAACTGAGCTCAACAGCCAGGCTATCTCACTTGGGCTTTAGGGCCATTGCATGCGCATGGCAGATCCGAGTTGTTTCTTTTGTTATTTCCAGCTTTCAAACTATTTTACACCTACTCTTTCTGGCGGCTCGCTCTCGCCCGAGCTTCGCTCGGCTCGAGCTCGCCTGGGACCGGAAGTTTACAGCTTTCTATATCTACTCATTTTGACGGCTCGCCCTCGCCCGAGCTTCGCTCGGCTCGAGCTCGCCGGGGGCCGGGGTTTCCAGTTTCTATATTCACTCTTTGACGGCTCGCCCTCGCCCGAGCTTCGCTCGGCTCGAGCTCGCCGGGGGGGCGGGGTTTACAGCTTTCACCTCTAGCACCCAACGAAGTCTGAGCACCACCGCAAAAGACCGAACATCAAAGAGAGTAAACGAATATGACACATAACAGTCAGCCGAAATGACTGAAATACCATAGGGGGTAAGAAAAACACACAGAAATTCCCTTTTATGGGAGTGTTTCCACCACGAAGCCTCGTCGTCATCGACACAAAACACCCTCCCTTTGGCGGAGAAACTGGAGGTAAGACCGAGTTTAAAATAA